TGGGTGGCCCGGTGGAGAAGAGCGCAGCTCCTCGAAGCGCGGCGTCGAGTCGCGGTAAGGCGCCTGATACGCGCGCTGGTCGTAAGACGGCGCGGCGTACATCGGAGCAGCATACGCAGGGGCCCCGTACGAGCCCTGGCCAAACTGGGCCTGATACGAGTGGGGCTGCTGCTGCTCCGGATACGGCGCGTGGCCATGAAGCTCGGCCCGAAGACCAGCGAGCTGGTTTCGCAGCGAGTCTTAAGACGACAGGTCGGCTCGACGATCCACACGGCCATGGAGACTGCGAGTTTCTTGATAGAGCGAGGCAACATCCTCACGGAGCCGCTCCACGGCACCAGGCTGACCAGCACGAGCGGAAGCCTCGCCACCAAGGCCGACGCCAAGCGCGATCTCGAGGACGTACACACGGTCCCGGAGAAGACGAATCTCCTCTTGCTGCAAGGCCACCACCTGACTCGGGGCCCCAGCATACGGCTGCGTCGCCTCAGGCTCGTAGCCATGGCCGTGCGAGGCCACCGCCGGCCCTCCTTGATCGTAATGGGCAGATCCACTACCACGTGGAACGAGTCGTCCGGGAGCGGCGGCTCCATGGCAAGCGCCAGCTGCTCGTGAAGTGGAGGGGTTACCCTGAGTCGGATAACTTGTGGGAGCCCGTTGAGCAGCTCCAGGCAGACTGCCCGAAGCCTGTTGCGATATGGGACGAGAAGCAGCGGCAGCTTCGTAAGTAGTCCTTGGCTTCTTGGCCGGTACCCGGGGCACGGTAGCAGACGTAGTCGCACCACGCCCACGCTCTTCACGAGCTTTGGCTCTCGCCTCTTGCGTCAGCTCGTCCATCTTCGAGTGGAGCTTGCGCTTACTCACGAGGTGAGCGAACTCGATGCGGAGCTCGCGCACGTCCAGTATTGCGGACAGAGTGCGATCCTCACGGAGTTCTTTGAACTCTTGGTCAGAATACCCTTTGCGCTGGACGTAGCGCCAGAAGAGGTCTTCCACCTCGCACCAGGTCATGTTGTCATTCGGCTTGACCCAGTGGAAACCCCACACAGGATGGAGTCCACCCTTGTCCTCCGGCTTCTTGCGAAGCGTGGTGAACTCCTTCAGTGTGAGCTTGTGTGGTGCTAGTAGCACACACCGGGCGACTTCAACGTCGCCAAGAAAGAGTGGCTCTTTCTCAACAAGAGCACGCTCATAGGAACCCCTCGAGGTGTACCCGCCGATAAGGCCACGACGAGCCGAGAGCTTCTCCAACAGCGCTGGCGCACCAGTGCCAGGCTCGGGCGGGAAGTAGCCCTGCGGGTACGTGGCATCCCCGCCTGAAGAAGACTCGATGGCAGTCGTGGCAGTCGGCTGCCTGGCATACGCACCCGAGCTAGCAGCGTGGTATTGCTGCTGCTGCTCGTCGAGGTTGTTGGAGAGCTCCTTGGGCTCGCGGACGGCATCTTCCTCGTCCTCAGACTCCGAGTCGATGAACAGCTTGGAGCTGGAGCCGCGAGGCGACCTGGAAGCTGAACGCTTCTTCGCCTTGGCCTCGGCGGCCTTCGCAGCGGCAGCCGCTTTCGACGCTTGGGCACGCTCACGACCTTGTGCCAGCGTCAGATGCTTGGATGCCAGCACCTCCTTGGGCTTGGAGCCCGCGTCGCTCGGCGACTTCTCGGCCACGACCCCAGCGTCGGCCATGGTGACTTCGTCGTGCGACTGCTTGCTGTCGCCTGAGCCGGACTCGGCGTCCTCCGCCTCCTTCTCTGACGAGGCCTTTGCGTCGGCCGAGGCGTTGGTCATGTCGCCTGCCACCAGCTCCGTGCCTTCGGCAGCGTGCGTGCTGCCCTCCGAGACGTTCTCGTCGTCGAGTGAACTCTCACCGGAGTACTGGACCATCGTGCAGTCAAAGACGGCGGCTTCCCAGTCGCGAGCCGGGCTTTTATGGCCCCGAGGACTCTTCTCCTTGCCTTGCGCGGCGTCAGGAGACTTGCTCCGAGCCCCGGCCTGACGGCCACTCTCCGGCGTGCTGCTACGAGAGCGCACCACCTCCTCGGCCGCCTTCGTGGCCTCCATCAGCGCGGACGACTCGTCCTTGGCCTTGGCCGCCCTGGTCTTCGGCCCTACGGTCCGCGGTTTCGGAGGTGCTTTCGCACTGCGCGCACTGCGCTTTGGAGGCATGCTTCCGGTTGACGTGGAGACCCTGCGGCTTGCTCGGCGATGCGCCAGTTGCTCTGTGAGGCCCGGGAGCCGAGGCGCCAGAGCTCGCGCCGTTTTCGATGGATTTCGACTTTACGAGTGAAATGTGAGTCGCCGGCGTAACCTCGCAATGATTGGTCGATAAGATCGAATCTAAGTGGGGGAGGATGTAACGGGGTTACATGTAATAGTGACTCTGTCACTATTCCGGGATGGCTACATCGGTCACTCCCCTGGATAGTGACCCAAGTGGCCTCAGAGCCAACAGATACATTTTGTAGGACACAAACTATAGGGAACTTAGGATTTGTATGCAGGCCAAATCTGTACCAACCTGTAAATACATTCAGTCTTAGATCTACCGCTTTTCAAGTCAAGTCGTCCCCTTCAGACCAGGGACACGTGAACGGCTGTTCACTTGGAGTTCGTGTACTCCTGCTTCCTCTGTTAAGAAGTGCCGTGTGCCCTGTCACAGAGATCGTGGCCGCGATGCGACCTGGAAGCTGCGCACGATATTGTTGGCGAACCGAGCGCTGTGTTGGACGTAAACTGCGTGAGCATGCTGGTCCCGCGCTGGAGCGACTTCGCGCAGCTGTAGTGCGCATCCAGCCGTAGCCGTAGCAATAGTAGCAGCGGCGGCATGCGTGCGAAGCGGCTGGTGAGTTTGCAGTAGCGCAACGTGAACTGGTAGAAGGCGGTCGAGGTGGCGTTGGCGCCGCGCACCGCCAAGTCGCAGATTCGGCTGTCGTTGAGCGGATTAAATGTGGTGGTCGAGTTGGTGGACAACAAGTAGAACTACGAGAACTGTGCCAATGATACCGATGTTGTCTCAGGTCGGCATGCGATTAAGTCTCAGGCCGATTTCAGCGCGAATCTAGCGCACTTCAAGTCACTGTTATAGATAACACCAGCACTATCGTGAGCAGACTAAAGCCACACATGAACTTTTGCTGTGAAGAGTCGGTTGTACGGACGTCTGTGGTATTTTATAGTTTCGGACATGATAAAATGTATAAGAGATTAGAGTGGAAAAATGCTATTGGTCATTTCAGGGGTCGCTTAAAAATTATTCATGTAGTGAATTCGATATCTAGAGAAGCATTTTCTGGAGGTATTACTGCTGTATTTTATATCTTGGTAGTCGGATTGGATCGACCGATCAATCGGATCTAATCGAAATGAATCGAGAATCGGCACTGGCTAATCCGATCGGTCAGAAAGTACATCTCGATCAATCCGATTGGGTCGATTACCCACCCCTAGGTGACTCACTTCACCCCATGGACGGCCAGATCCTCGCCATTCTGTCTGCATCTTGTCTGCAGGTGCTGTACAATACTCCAGAGCCTCGTTCTCGTGGACCCGAGCGGCTTGAACTTACGCGGCGGTGCCTTCAGTGATCGAAAGTAGGCAAGTTCGGGCCAGCGCCAGCAGAACGAGCACAAGTGATTCAGTCGCATTGTGACCGCGGCTGAACGGTCTGCAGGCAGAAAAGCAATGTCGGTGTGTGGGGGGGGGGAATAGATCTCGCCGGCCGGCCTGTCAGCACTCGGCGGCTTGCGCGCCGTTCGTGTCAGTTGCAGTTCGGGCCGCGTCGGCACGGACGCGTCGGAGACGAGCGTTTCCGCTCGCATCGAATGGAGGAATGATCTCGAAGCGCCAGTGGCTCCAGCGCACGCCAGGAGATAGTGCATACAGCGTGGAGCTCAAGGCCACGGAAGTAGTCAAACCAGGGCTGCAAGAAACCTGAACGCCAAACGTACAGGGGTTCAGAAGCCTCGCAGTACGTTCTTCATCGCAAGTTCGAGCGCGAGCCGCTGGAGTCCCGTTTGTTTATTTTAGTCCCGTTTGCCTTCTTCTGAGCAGTATCTCGCTTTAGCTAGGCTGAAGGCTACATGTATTTTGAGTCACTACTGTGGGAGTTGTGACTCGTACTGTATGACAGCGAATTCCTGTTTATTCGTGCCTGGGATCGCATCTCCAGCGTTCAGATAACCGCCCTCTTCACACCGCCGCCGTCTTCCGCATGCGGCATCCCACTTCGCGAAGGAGCGAGCTGGACTACATGTACTCACACAACATGGGCCTGTTACAGGCAGGGTGTGTGTGTGTTTCAGAGCCACAGCACGCTCCTCCACTTCAACTCAGCTCAGCCCAGAGGAGAGGGGATGGTGACACACTCACTCCCGGTCTTGCTTGGCGTGAGCCAAATTCGGTTTCGGTCGCTCGCTGGAAATCCGCAGCGACTGGTCGAGCATCGCACTACACGAACGACATGGTCAGCATCTTGCTGCTTGCGCGTCGGCGTGCTACTGGCAAGCAGAACTCGCACTGCCATTGAGGGCCGGAGGTGAGTGAGTCACTTTATGCTCGGAATTGGCTTTCGAGTTCAGTGAATGCTCCGGGACGTGTTTGCACGCGGGTGGCACTCTCCGTGACGAAAAGGCTCACGGTGCCGTTATTTTGATTTCCGGCGATGGGTGGCGAGCGTTATTCGCGCCTTGGGATAGCCGAGCTGATTCCCTTTCGAGAACTCGCCCGGACTTGGCTCTCTGGCCGAAGGCAGACAGCGCATTGGCACGCAAGGCCGACTATCGCACGGCGTTTCAGCGCCATCACTTTGCCTAACTGATTGCAGAGAAACTCTTTGGCCTGACGTGAAGGCGGGAGGGAATTGTAGCAACTTTGGCACTGTGGCCCAACGCAAGTCTATCGGATGAACGTAGCTGGAGAGAGTACTAATGCAACCAAAAGAAGAGGTATGATATATTAGCTCACTAACCTACTGCACTCTCTTCTCTATACGAAGACGTCCAAATAGTTTACGACGACACGGTCGCGCCCGCAGCAGCGGCAGCAGCACTAGCGTCCGAGCTAATGGTGGTGCCGGTGGTGCTGGGCGGGGCGCCTCGCTGGGTGGCCAGCAGGCGTCGGATGCCGTCCTCGTCGTCCTCGCGCAGCACGAAGCTGAAGTTCCCGTTGCCCTCCGGCTCGTGGATCACCTCGGTGCCCAAAGTGTGTCCGTCGCCCTCCTTCTTGCCCTCTGGACGCACCAGCAGGAAGCTCTCGCTCTCGTTCGCAACGTAGTCAGGTACGCGCGCGCGCAGCGTGGCGTCCAGCAGGCGGTTGTTGTCGCGGATCCGCACGGAAACGTACTGCCGCGTCACGCTGGCCACCTGGTGTGTGATCGTGCTGACGTACTGCTGCAGGAGCTCCTCGGCCGACCCCGTGTCGCGAACAAGCTTCTCCACGATGAGCTTCAGTCCCTGCGACGTGCGCGCCACGCTGCGAGTTTCCTCACGAGTGGACGAGCTGACAGTTTCCACGCTGGCCACGCTCTCGCGGAGAGCGTTCACGTCCTCGTTCGTCCGATCCAGCTGGGTCTGCAGCTCCTCGAAGGCCGGCAGCTCTTCCAATTTGGCGGACAATCGCTTGGCCTCCTCGTGCTGCTGCTTCCAAGACTGCTCCAGCTCTGACAGGTGCGACTGCAGCTTGCTCAACTGGCCCGTCATGGCCGCGATCGATGACGAAGTGGAAGATGCAGTGGGTTCAAAGTGCGAGCCGCCGAGCTCGCCCTCGACCTGCTGCAGCCACTCCTCCAACTCGCCCAGGCGAGCGCGCATCCGTCCTTCCAACGCAATACGCTGCGAGCCTTCGAGACGCAGGCGCTCGTCGAAGTGCGTGCTGAGTCTCGTCAGCGAAGCCTCGTGCTCCTCCGCCAGCGCGTTCAACACCGTCGAGAACGGCAGTCCGGAGGTCGAAATCGTGTCGTAGTCGCTTGAAGCCTGCTTCTTCTTCTCGTCGTTGGGGTCAGAAGGCGTCGACGATTCACCCGCGGGTGATGACGACGAAGCTGTTGCCGCCGCTTCCGCAATCAGCTCCTCCGCGCGCTTGGCCGCGCTGGCAACACACGAAGCCTCCACCTCCGCAACCGCTGCAAACACATGATAAGACGTTAGTTAGCACACGCACCGTCCCGTCAGCTCAAGCGAAAAAAATCTCTCTCTACATACCTGCTTGGAACTTAGAGTCAATCTCTTCATGCAGCGTCTGCACCAGCGTCTTCAGCTGACTGCTCTTGCCGTGTTTGCCAACAGGAACGCCCAGCACCTTGGAAATCTGCGCCAACTGCGACTGGAAGGCGCTCTGTCGTCCTTCCAGCGTCGACACTCGGTCTCCAAGAGCACTCCCTGTCTCCTCCGTGGTCGATGTGGAACCTCCCTCCGTTTGAGCAGCAAGAAGGTTCTGCACCTGCTTCTCCAGCTCCGTCACGCGGCGTTCACAGCTGCACCCTCCCTGCTTCGACGGAGAAGACGAAGATGAAGATGTTGAAGTCGACGTCGCCACCCCCGTCTGCTCCTGCATCTGTACCATGATAAAGTCTTGCAGTGCCCTCGCCAGCTCCTTGCTCTTGGTCTCCATCTCGTCCTCGGCCGGTCTCAGCACGGCACCGAAAGCCGTCGGTGTCGGCATAACAGCTGACGCTGTGGCGTCCCCCGAGAGGGACGGAGCCTGCAGGTAGCTGAGGTACGAGGGCAGAGCCTCCTCCTCTCTCTCCTCCTCCTCCCTCTCGGGTCTGTTCCACAGCATCCTGGCTGTGGCCTCTCCGCTCGAGTACGAGCCGATGACTCCGTGGTTGGTGGGCCTCACGGCGCTCTGGAGGCCGGGAGGACCCGCGTTCGATTGCTCAGACACTGGAGAAGACTCGGACGCCGCGTTGAACCCTGCGCTCGTCGCTGGAGAGGAGGAAAAGGCCGAGGAACCGCTCGCAGACCCGTCGAACGCCCATAGTCCGCCTGCCGAGACCGAATGCGGCGGCAGATCGCGCCGACGCTGCTCCAGGCGACTCATGGCGCTGCTGCGGCGGGTAGACGCGGGTGTGGCGCCGTTCGAGACGCGGCGTGGACGCCGGGGGAAGTGCTGGTCTGCGTCTGCGGAGGGGGCCGACGACCACATATCGGCGCTTCAGTATGATGGACTGCGGTGGAGAGGGGCCAGGGGCCAATAAAGCGGAGCGACAGGATTGGTGGAAAATGGGGAAGATTTGCCGAAAAGCTTTTTGACGAATCGTTCACGTGATGGATAAAGGTGTTCGAGTCGGGTGAGGGTGGTGTGTAAATGGTGTGGCGCACAAGTTGAAGCGGAAGATCGGCGGGTGGAGTCATTTCATCGTGTACGGCCCTGGCGAGTGAAGGAAACTCCCTAAGCAAATGACTCCAGGTCGAATGGCAGGAGATGACACAAGTTTACTAATCTCGCTAAGATGAATGAATTAACAAGTCACTTTGGAGCAGTGTCATTGCTTCAAGCATGACCTGAAGACTAGAGGTCATGCTTGAATGATACAGGCTGTAGTACTACACCACCTCTTCAAAGCTGCAGCTCAACTTCACAAACTTATGACTGTGAAAACTTCAAGCGTACTCCAACTCCGTGGCCATCATCTGTCATCGACGATGTCGACGTCGGCAGCGCTGAACGGCGTCAGTCTCGACTTCCGCTTTCGCCGACCGCTTGCTTCGCGATCCGCTTTGAACGGGGGCAATGACTTCCGCTCGCATCTGCTCCGCAACCATACGCAGATTCAACCCGCGGACAAGCACAATTTTAACTACGTCATCAGTCACATTAGCCTGTAGCCCGGTGACGCCGTCGAGTACTGTACTAAGAGGAGAAGATGTAGAGGAACATGTCCGCTGGCGCTGTGCGAGCGCGTCCCCTGTAACTTCAGTCATTTGACCAGAGCCACGAGCGCCGTTCGGCCAGTGGAGAACGCCTCACGAGCTTCAACACGTTTTGTGGAATCTGCACAAATCCCTCGTAGACGTTACTACAGTTCGTCCTGTGTCTGTTCGAGTCGCGCCATGTGCGGGAACAGCCGACAAAAGCGCTCCGCTTGCGTAGCCACCGTGATGGCCTCCGCCACTTGGCGCGTGGTCGTCGCCTTAGCCGTTGCCATCTTTGCTGCTGAACGTGGGGTGCATCTCGGTGTCCTTTGCTCTGATGCGTGTGGGCTGGCTTCCGAAACTCGCCCTTAATGCAACAGGCAAGCTTCAAGTCTTCGGGCGACACATGACACATCCGCCCTGCGCGCAATTCGGCATTCGCTACAGATCTGGACGCGTAGACAATGCGATTGAAGACTTGTCATCCGTTGTAATCCATTGTAGTCATCTCCTGCTGCTCTTCCATAGGCTCATCGTTTTTTCGTCAAATATCCCAACGTGGTTCCCAACACGGATGCTATTGAGTTTGTCAGACTGCTGCCACACCCGAGGAAGTCGCGTAAGGCTCCGCTTGTTGTAGTCCGCCTAGAAGTCGTTCAAAACGGCACGTACCGTCGAGGAGTGACACTGCAGCTTACTGTGTGAAACTCCGGCTTTGTCCTGGTGTCCAAGTTTAGAATCTAATTAGATTCTGACGGTGGTGAACGACGCAGGATACTAACTACCGGTAGTAAATACGAACGGTGTTTTCACGATCTATTTTACGGCACTCCTAAATCTTTTTTTGCAAACTCGTCCTAATGACTTGATCAGATCGAACTCACTCCCGTCCTAATGTGCTTGCCCTGACTTGCGAACGGGTAGGCAACATGACACGAACGCGTTCTTATCAAACTGACTGTCACTTGCGAACAAACGCTAGGCCTAGATACTCCGCCTGCATCTCGAAGAATGGCGTCCAGCGCAAGTCGCTCCACACGGCGGCTCGATCGGCACTCGATGCGATAGACAGTCTGTGCGTCGGACCAGGTTTCGAGGGTCTCAATGCGGATCCGTACACGACCCCATGCGCCACTAGGGACAAGCCGCCCCGATGATCTCCGGCACACAATGGCCCCGTCGCGTCGAGTTTCGGCTTCACCGTCAGTGTTAGGCTCACTCGCCGCATCACCGTTATCTCAGCTTCAGTCCCCCTCCGCGAACGCAAAGAGGTCTATGTTCAACGACAGCGCATCGTCTGACAACGTCCCAACGTAGTCTCCGATCAACCATCCTCCGGCCGTCGGGATCATGGACGACAAGCCACTGGGTAGAGCGCGGAAGACGCGCAGTCGGCCGTCCAGGAGCATCGACGTTCGTGCCTCGGTATTATCATTAGCGAACGAAAGAGCTGAGAGGAGACACAGCCTCGGCGTCGCGGTGTCAGTATCCAATTCCACATCGATGCAGCCGAACTCTCGGGCGAGTTGAGCGACGTCAGTGAATCGAAAACTTTGGATAACGCGCTGTACTTGATTCGACGAGAGGCTGTCAACTTGTATCGATTGAGGATCGAGAACCCAGCGACCGCAGAATGGACTGTGCTGGTTTAGCGTCCCGTTAGGAGGCTCAGGCGCCGAGGAAGTGATGAACACCCGAGCCTGAGCTGTGTACGCCTGGAACCAACCCTCCAAAGTCCTTTTCAGCGATTCAGGCGATTGATGATGATCCAGTAGAGCTGAGACTTCTAGGCGAATGATACCAAACCGACCTCGATTATACACAAGCGACAGAATGGTATCAACCAGAGCGGACAAGCACGCGTCCTGGCCCCCTGGTGTTGGGTCGCTGGTATTACCCATGGACTCGCGAAACATCTCGTCAAGAACATCGTACAACGCTGGCACGAGCGAGGTGAACTGCTCTTGGAGCTCCTCGTTACTTGTCATGTTGTTGCTGACGGCTGGGCGCAGAAGTCTTTCAACTGAACAAGAAGACACAGCACGCAGGAAGAGATGGACCACTACTCGGACGAGAGCTCGCTCGTGAGCCGGAGATGGTTGTGCACTTTTTGTTGGTGAGGTATTCCCAAAGATAGGCGCTGGAGACTCGTCACGATCGGTTCGCTCGAAGACGTCGCTGAAGAAGGAGACCGCTACATACTCACGCTCTGCTCCAGATCTGGCTGTTGCAGCGCGCATCGAGTACGCACCAACGGCACTGGTGTTGATCTCGACATCTGCCAAGGATACACTGCCACAAGATGATGAGTTGCAGCCCCTTTTCACGATACTCCAGCTCTCGAGTGTAAGCAAGTTGATGCAACAAGCTAGCAACATCACCAGCACGTAAGAGTTCGTGATCAGCGCTGTTAACGCGACGTTGCTGCTGCCCTTGGTGCTGCTCAGCGCTGCCACACGCGTCCGAAAGTTTACTTGACACGTCGTCTGCGTCGGTATCCTCCGCTAGCAATTCACAGCCTGACTCATAGCTAACAGTGCCGATTCGGCGGAACGATACGACGGGAAATGGAGGCGACGGGTGCCGCGCCAGTACAACGGCGGGATGATGATCCATATCCTGTGTTTCGCTTTGATTCCCTTGGCGGAACACGTAGGCAACCGGGTGGTGGGTCATTTCGCGCTGGGTGCGCGTGTTGCTGCTATCATAGTTATAGAACTACTTGGGGTATCTGCTCTTGTTGATGACGTACAAAACAGTATTCTACCCCATAGCAAACAACACAATGATCTTTGCATTAGCTTCGTCGCGATTAGAACGTTCTGGTTGTCGTCGACTTCGTACCTTGGGGAAGGCGCGCTGCATCGAGTCGCTCTCTCTGACCGCACGGACCCAGACGGCGCCTTTGCCGGTCGGTATTGCACTCAGGTCGAACAAACTCGCAGGGAGTTGAACAGTCTCACCAACACGCAGCTTCCGTTCGTTTTCATGCCTCACTCTGTCATCATCCCCCGCGGCGCCAACATCGCGGAACAGACTCGCAAGACTCTCCGACCACCCTCGAGGGCTCGAATCGGGTGCAAACCAGCAGCTCCTCTGACTCAGCAGTGCTCACTTCTGCCGAGAAGGTCACAAGCAAGTGCACGGAGCAGCCGCAGTAGCTCCGTTTGGCGTGCTCCGGACAGCAGTGCGGGAAGCACCGCAGCAGCTACAACGAAAAACGCCATTGAACCGTCAGTATCTAATGCACACGCAACGATGTATCCGCTCCGCTGACCTTCACCCCTCGCTCTCGGTTGCTCCTGTGGACAAACATTATCATGGGAATGATAAACTTAGTCACTAACATCCGTTCGTCATGGATCGCCGCCTATCTCACGCACCTCGCGTACTCACGGCGGAAGAGCGGGTGCTCGTCTTCGCTGCAGTCCACGCGCAGGAAGCGGCAAGACTCCACGTGCACAATTGGCGGACAGACCTAGTGCGCGCTCGAGACGTCGGTTGACGGCAAGTATGCTCCTTGGGGGAAGATCGACCAAGCCCCACGTCTATACAAAATGGAGGGTGAACACGAACGGGTACGCACGGTAGTTTTAAGGGCCAGATTTGGCAGCAGCCTCAACTTAATCTGGCTCTGTCCTCAAGCCTGAGCCTTGGTAATTGGAATGGCGTCCACGAATGTAAACGTGGTGTGCGGATTGTGTAAAGAACATACAATTTAAACTCGCTTCTTTCATTTTGATCACAGTCAAAACGTTATTAGATGGAAGATTGCAAACACTGGCATAAATATGCAGGCCACGAGTCGAAGTGCCAATGCTGCGAACGCTTACATCGGCTGATAGCCGCTGCAAGTGATTTTTTTTAAACGGTAGTGTCACTTACTTTCTAGTAGCTTACTACCGCTGTCTACCATGAACTAACGACAAAGCAAACTGGCTCAACTTGTGTTAAATGTCACGAGCCGGGTGGCTCTCCGAATGCGGAATAAGAGAGGACATGTGATCGATCTCGCCACCCACGAGGTTCGGCAGACACAGGACACGGGCCCTGCACCCACCTGAATGCGGCCGTAGTAGCCGCTGTCCCATAGGGACTTGATCGCGTTCGTCCGGACCCGCCGCAGGCGATGTAACTTGGTCCTTCTTGAATGCTGCTTAATTTAACCCCTGGACCGGAGCCACTCTTGTTTTCTGTGAAGTTAGTCTATTGACACAATGCCTTACCATCGATCTCCTCTATTTCCGCATCACCGATGCCGAATTGTTTTCTGGGTTGCGACCGACAGCCCGCAGCATATCGACACGAGGATGCGTTCACAGAAAATTATCATTGTTCCGACCAAGCCGGACCATGAATGTGGACCAGCTGCAGACATAGTGCTAGAAGACAGCAATAAAACGATATATAAATCGTTAGTAACCCTTGCTAGCTCGAGCCAAATAGCTGCAAAACTTCACAAGGCCACTGCGGAAACCGAAGAGATAGCGATGAACGCGGTTGCTTCAAACTCACCTGCTAACGGGAATACTTTGCATGCAGCATGAGCTAACCTCCCAGGAGATCTTATAGACAATCTTTTTCTCGCTTGAGGCTCCACAATGCGAAAGTGGGGGAAGCTCTCGTCTTCCCTGAAGCTGAGATGTGCAGGTGCGCTCCGAGTTTGGCTTTCTGGTTGGGCGGAGATTTAACGGAGAAATGCGAAATAAACACGAACAGGAGTTTCAACACCAGAATTGGCAATGCGATCAGGCGCTCGTCTCAACGGATGCACCAGCGCATCTTAATCCTGCGTCTTGAATAAGATTGCGAACGGATTGACCGATAAAGCAACACAATAGCGCGGCGTGTGCTGACAGTGTAAGTAGATGCACAATTTAACTACTCGGGCGGCACAACAACAGATTCTGCCTGTATTTCGACAAGCGAGGTCTATATCGACTTTGTCGTTGCACAACATGGCCGTCAGCCTGTGGGTGAAGAATGGATCGACCGCAGCAGGATTGAAGGCCCCGCTGTTGGCATTTTTGCTGCAGAGAGGGTGGCCTACCGCAAGCTTTATGTAGAGTGAACAATCAGCCGCTTGCTTTCACGGTGGTTGCGAATGTAACAGCGATCTTCCCCACGATTCGACAAATCGTCAAAGCTCAACCATATTCCACCAATCTCATCTCAGATCACTAAGCTAACCAGTGGGCATCGCTAATGCGAATCTTAAGGATAATGTGCAAGTACAGCGGCAAGATACCAAGATTCGATTGCCCGTTCGGCGGTTGAAATACAATTCCCGCTCCAGTTTCGTCGACGGAGGCGTTCGCGAGGGTCGAGCGCAGCGGGACTGTTCAGGGCCTTGGGCCTCGAACTGGCCCGAGCGCTATCTTTGCAGCGTCTGACGAACGAAACTTGCGAGTGCGCGGCTGGTTCCTTCGTCGTCGCCTGCCTTCATTCCGTCAATCTCCGTCAACGCAGCGAGCGAGCCAGGGAGCTCGTAGCTTGACAACTGAAGTGCTGCAGCGCTGCCAATGACGCACGTGGTCATGTGCCGCTTCCTGCGCTTGGGCTGCAGCGAGGGCGAGCACCCGCTCTTCCGTCGCGAGTACGCCAGGTAATGGACGCATTGTTGACGAATTCACTCGTGAGGGTGTCTACATGATCACTCTCTGCTAATCCCGGTGGACGCATCTCGTCTCGTGTCCTCCACAGGAGCAACCGAGAGAAAGGGGTCAAGGTGCGACTTGGAACATCAATAGCTTCCGTCCCGCAGTGCAGGCCTTGACTAATCGTGTTGCTGTTGCTGTGGCAGTTGCTGCGGTGCTTCCCGCACTGCTGTCCGGAGCACGTCAAACGCAGCTACTGCGGCTGCTCCGTGCACTTGCTCGTGACCTTCTCAGCAGACGTGAGCGATGCCAATGCTGCGCTGGACGAGGTGGTGGTGGCGACGCGGTTCGAGCCCTCGCAGGTGGCGCCGCTGTGGCCTGCAAGCCTGGCGGGTCTGTTCCGCGATGTCGGCGCAGCGGGGGATGACGACAGATCCAGACACGACAATGAGCGGAAGCTGGGTATTGGGGAGACGGTTGAGCTCCCCGCGAGCTTGTTTGGACTTGATGCAGCGTTACCGTCCAACAAGGGAGCCATCTGGGTACGAGCGGAGAGGGAGAGCGACTCGATGCAGCGCGCATATCCCAAGGTACAGAAATCGCTGTCAGTGAAGTCACCGCCACAAGAGTGCAGGAATCTAACTTGTGCCTTGTGAATCGGATCTTCGCTCGTTGTTAGAATACCGTTCTGTACGCCATCAACAAGCGCCGGTTCCCCAAGTGGTTCTACAACTATCACGGCAGCACCACGCGCACCCAGCGTGAAATGACCCACCACCTCGTCGCCTACGTGTTCCACCGGAGCACTCCAGGGCAGTCGACAACCCAAAACGATGGGGATCCGCCGACTGCAGTCGTGTTGGCGCGGCACGCGTCGCCTGCCTTCAAGTTGGTGTCGTTTCGACGATCGGGCGTCACTAGCAATGATGCTTGCTGCGAGTTGCCTGCGATGAATACCCCTCCACAAATGTTTGACCTTTCTAGGGCTGCACACCAGCAGCAGCAGTACCAGCAGCAACGGCAACAGCGTGTCCATGACGAACCTCAATGGTATCAGCAGCCCAACCCGCGTGAAGATCCAAAGTACCCGTCAGACGTTATTAGAGAGCGCTATGCCTACGACAACAACGAGGAGAAGAGGAACCTCGGTATTCCATTCGTTCATGGCATTTTGGGCGTTGATCCAAGATCGTGCACGAGAGAACTTGGATACCGTGAGAAGGGCCAGCATCTTCTCATCTTGTGGCAATTCGTCAAGTACATTTCACTCGATGACATCGGGATCCGAGCTGACACCGTGGGCTCGTATTTGATGCGCACAGCAGCAGCCAGATCGGACGTAGATCTCGAGCATATAGCGGCCTCAAGCTTGAGCGAAATCTTCGATCGTGCCCACAGCAATCGTGACCAGTCTCCGTTGCCTATCTTTGGCAAAGCCTCACCGCCATCAGCCACTGCACCATCTCCAGACCCAGAGTGTGCTGTCATCCGAGTGGTTGTGCGTCTCTTCTTGCGTGGATTGTCTTCGTGGACTGTCAAGGAGCTTCTGTGTACAGCATTCGGAATGGGAAGCGCTTCGACAAGTAAAGAGAAGCTCCGCGAGCAGTTCACGTTGCTCGTCAACAGTCTGTACGACGTCCTGGACGATACCCTGCGGGAATTTGCGCGTGATGACAGCGGTTCAACATTCGGCAACCAAGACGTATGCTTGCCTGCTCTCGCCGACGCTGTTCTGTCGCTCGTGTCCAGTCGAGGTCGGTTTAGTGTCATTGCACCGGCGGTCTCAGCTCTACTGGATTGTCACTCGTTGTCAAGCGCTTTGGGCGGCGTACACAGCTCAAGTTCGGGAATTTATGATAGTAACCGCGACTCCGCTTCCCGACATGGTGCTGCAAGAGCGTACAGCGCGGAGGATTGACAGAAGCGCTGCACTTCCGAATCCGTTCTGCGGTCGGTGGGTGCTAGACCCGCAGTCGATGCACGCTATCAACGTCGCATCGGATCGAGTACATGACGCACGCGGAAGTTTTCAGATGACCGATGCTGCCCAATTCATACGTGAGGTCGGATGCATCGATATCGAGGTAAACGTCTCAGTGCCGCGGCTTTCGGTCCAATCGGTGCATTCATTTGCAACTGGAGCGTCCAAGACGGCGTCGTCGATGCTCCTAGACGGTCGACTGCGCGTCTTCCGCGTGTTGCCCAGCGGTTTGTCGTCCATGATCGCGACGGCCGGTGGGTGGTCCATCGGAGACTACGCTGGCGCATTGTCAGACGATGCGCAGTCGCTGAGCGTCGACTTCTTCGCGTTCGCGGAGGGGTATCACCCTCAATCTGGTGGCGAGATAACGGTGGCCCGTCGAGTGAGTATGACGCTGACGCTGGGGCAGGAATACGGCGAGGCTGGATCGGTGTCGACTAGAGGCGGTGGCGAAAGAGAGACGAGCATACTCGTGCACGGGGTGGTTTACGGCTCTGCTCTGAAACCCGACACGGAAGCCTTGAACCCTGATGCAGGCGACCCGATCTCGGCGCGCAGGTTGTCCACCGCATCATGTGCCGATCGATCCGCCGTGTGGAGCGACTTGAGGTGGACGCCACTCATCGAGATGCAGGCAGACTACGTTGCCGTGGCACACGCGTAAAGGTTTTGCAATCGTATATGTGCTTCTCAATAGAAAATCGCCAATCCGTTCGAAACCCAAAGAGTGATGAATAACGGCAAGCACTTTAGAACGAGACTCCAAATGGAGCTCAACTCAGGACGAGTGCGTATCCATTTTGAGATGCAGGGCGGAAAGCGCTTTGGGAAGTGTGCAGCCGCTGAGCAACGCGCCGATGTTGGCGCTACTGCTCATGAAACGGCCGATTGGTTACGATCTGCACCCAGGCTACATACAGTACAGCTTTCTGGTACATACAGCTTATATGAAACAATTGGCGGGAACCCGGGTACCCATCGGGACCCCGGTTCCCCCAAAACTACCGGTACACATGTATGAGCAAATGCATTGAAGTGTTGGTCTATGACCTACATAGAACGCAGCTGAAGCTCAGTAGGGGAACGGAAGGTTAATTTACCTTCGCCCTCGTCCTGTGTCTCTCCACGAAAATCCAGTCGCTTGCCTGGTGCAGCGGTACAGTGCTTCCCGGTCTCATCGCTATCCTCCTGCTCATGAAAGATAAACTTGGACATGGTAAGGTATGTTATTTGGGTCTATTCAGTACCTGTGGCATATTTTGAGGGTAGTCCTTCATCGACAGCACTTGGATATGAGGGTTTATTAACTTGCCCCGAGGGTACCAATATGGAGGCCAAAAATTAAATAAATAATTCGCGATTTGGTCGGTATCATTTGCGGGAACCCGGGTTCCCGCCAATTGTTTCATATATCCAACACGAAGTAAGGCACGCCACTGGCGTGACGCCACACAAAAACGCATAAAATAGTTGATGCCCGGATGCCCGGCGGGATGAAGAATGCGAACGGCCGTTTCATGAGCAGTAGCGCCAACATCGGCGCGTTGCTCAGCGGCTGCACACTTCCCAAAGCGCTTTCCGCCCTGCATCTCAAAATGGATACGCACTCGTCCTGAGTTGAGCTCCATTTGGAGTCTCGTTCTAAAGTGCTTGCCGTTATTCATCACTCTTTGGGTTTCGAACGGATTGGCGATTTTCTATTGAGAAGCACATATACGATTGCAAAACCTTTACGCGTGTGCCACGGCAACGTAGTCTGCCTGCATCTCGATGAGTGGCGTCCACCTCAAGTCGCTCCACACGGCGGATCGATCGGCACATGATGCGGTGGACAACCTGCGCGCCGAGATCGGGTCGCCTGCATCAGGGTTCAAGGCTTCCGTGTCGGGTTTCAGAGCAGAGCCGTAAACCACCCCGTGCACGAGTATGCTCGTCTCTCTTTCGCCACCGCCTCTAGTCGACACCGATCCAGCCTCGCCGTATTCCTGCCCCAGCGTCAGCGTCATACTCACTCGACGGGCCACCGTTATCTCGCCACCAGATTGAGGGTGATACCCCTCCGCGAACGCGAAGAAGTCGACGCTCAGCGACTGCGCATCGTCTGACAATGCGCCAGCGTAGTCTCCGATGGACCACCCACCGGCCGTCGCGATCATGGACGACAAACCGCTGGGCAACACGCGGAAGACGCGCAGTCGACCGTCTAGGAGCATCGACGACGCCGTCTTGGACGCTCCAGTTGCAAATGAATGCACCGATTGGACCGAAAGCCGCGGCACTGAGACGTTTACCTCGATATCGATGCATCCGACCTCACGTATGAATTGGGCAGCATCGGTCATCTGAAAACTTCCGCGTGCGTCATGTACTCGATCCGATGCGACGTTGATAGCGTGCATCGACTGCGGGTCTAGCACCCACCGACCGCAGAACGGATTCGGAAGTGCAGCGCTTCTGTCAATCCTCCGCGCTGTACGCTCTTGCAGCACCATGTCGGGAAGCGGAGTCGCGGTTACTATCATAAATTCCCGAACTTGAGCTGTGTACGCCGCCCAAAGCGCTTGACAACGAGTGACAATCCAGTAGAGCTGAGACCGCCGGTACAATGACACTAAACCGACCTCGACTGGACACGAGCGACAGAACAGCGTCGGCGAGAGCAGGCAAGCATACGTCTTGGTTGCCGAATGTTGAACCGCTGTCATCACGCGCAAATTCCCGCAGGGTATCGTCCAGGACGTCGTACAGACTGTTGACGAGCAACGTGAACTGCTCGCGGAGCTTCTCTTTACTTGTCGAAGCGCTTCCCATTCCGAATGCTGTACACAGAAGCTCCTTGACAGTCCACGAAGACAATCCACGCAAGAAGAGACGCACAACCACTCGGATGACAGCACACTCTGGGTCTGGAGATGGTGCAGTGGCTGATGGCGGTGAGGCTTTGCCAAAGATAGGCAACGGAGACTGGTCACGATTGCTGTGGGCACGATCGAAGATTTCGCTCAAGCTTGAGGCCGCTATATGCTCGAGATCTACGTCCGATCTGGCTGCTGCTGTGCGCATCAAATACGAGCCCACGGTGTCAGCTCGGATCCCGATGTCATCGAGTGAAATGTACTTGACGAATTGCCACAAGATGAGAAGATGCTGGCCCTTCTCACGGTATCCAAGTTCTCTCGTGCACGATCTTGGATCAACGCCCAAAATGCCATGAACGAATGGAATACCGAGGTTCCTCTTCTCCTCGTTGTTGTCGTAGGCATAGCGCTCTCTAATAACGTCTGACGGGTACTTTGGATCTTCACGCGGGTTGGGCTGCTGATACCATTGAGGTTCGTCATGGACACGCTGTTGCCGTTGCTGCTGGTACTGCTGCTGCTGGTGTGCAGCCCTAGAAAGGTCAAACATTTGTGGAGGGGTATTCATCGCAGGCAACTCGCAGCAAGCATCATTGCTAGTGACGCCCGATCGTCGAAACGACACCAACTTGAAGGCAGGCGACGCGTGCCGCGCCAACACGACTGCAGTCGGCGGATCCCCATCGTTTTGGGTTGTCGACTGCCCTGGAGTGCTCCGGTGGAACACGTAGGCGACGAGGTGGTGGGTCATTTCACGCTGGGTGCGCGTGGTGCTGCCGTGATAGTTGTAGAACCACTTGGGGAACCGGCGCTTGTTGATGGCGTACAGAACGGTATTCTAACAACGAGCGAAGATCCGATTCACAAGGCACAAGTTAGATTCCTGCACTCTTGTGGCGGTGACTTCACTGACAGCGATTTCTGTACCTTGGGATATGCGCGCTGCATCGAGTCGCTCTCCCTCTCCGCTCGTACCCAGATGGCTCCCTTGTTGGACGGTAACGCTGCATCAAGTCCAAACAAGCTCGCGGGGAGCTCAACCGTCTCCCCAATACCCAGCTTCCGCTCATTGTCGTGTCTGGATCTGTCGTCATCCCCCGCTGCGCCGATATCGCGGAACAGACCCGCCAGGCTTGCAGGCCACAGCGGCGCCACCTGCGAGGGCTCGAACCGCGTCGCCACCACCACCTCGTCCAGCGCAGCATTGGCATCGCTCACGTCTGCTGAGAAGGTCACGAGCAAGTGCACGGAGCAGCCGCAGTAGCTGCGTTTGACGTGCTCCGGACAGCAGTGCGGGAAGCACCGCAGCAACTGCCACAGCAACAGCAACACGATTAGTCAAGGCCTGCACTGCGGGACGGAAGCTATTGATGTTCCAAGTCGCACCTTGACCCCTTTCTCTCGGTTGCTCCTGTGGAGGACACGAGACGAGATGCGTCCACCGGGATTAGCAGAGAGTGATCATGTAGACACCCTCACGAGTGAATTCGTCAACAATGCGTCCATTACCTGGCGTACTCGCGACGGAAGAGCGGGTGCTCGCCCTCGCTGCAGCCCAAGCGCAGGAAGCGGCACATGACCACGTGCGTCATTGGCAGCGCTGCAGCACTTCAGTTGTCAAGCTACGAGCTCCCTGGCTCGCTCGCTGCGTTGACGGAGATTGACGGAATGAAGGCAGGCGACGACGAAGGAACCAGCCGCGCACTCGCAAGTTTCGTTCGTCAGACGCTGCAAAGATAGCGCTCGGGCCAGTTCGAGGCCCAAGGCCCTGAACAGTCCCGCTGCGCTCGACCCTCGCGAACGCCTCCGTCGACGAAACTGGAGCGGGAATTGTATTTCAACCGCCGAACGGTAGCCAAATTGGCTCCTGTCCTCAACGAGGTGAGAGTATGCAGAGCTCTAGCCTTGGGAGCCATAACAACTTCAATACAGGCAGAGCGTGGTTGAGCTGTTATTGCCAACCTACCATTATCCTTAGTTCTCGCATGAGTAATATGTGCCTGCCTAACATTAGTAGCCAGAGGTTGTTAATTATGCGAACGACCCGTTTAGGAATTGTATAAAATCCAACCGGTACCGTTCCGATGGTACACCCTCATATAGTTATACAGCGCTCTCTATACTATAATCTTTGCTAAAATTAAAATATTCTAGGCGATACCGCAGCCATTGAAGCATGAGCGATCTTCCCGAGGACTTCCACGCTCTTCTACGCCGCCTCGACGACATTGCAGGGGTGCGTTGCAAGCGGCTTCATCTCCTCTGTCACCTGCAACAATGGATTCATCCACACACGCATATTCACGACGCAATATCACGTTACAAACAGTCTCTAAGTTGCTGTAAATTCTGCGTTTGGGACAGGAAGAATGCCCCGAGACGACGCCCTACGCGTCGCACTACCGGGTACTGGAGATTCTGCAGAAGCTGCGGACCACAGCGCTGCCCCCGGCGGTGCGTGATGCTCAGTACAGCCCTCAAAACCTTAATATTTAGCCTAAAAGGATGCTGCCGCGGCCTTATTTTCTGAAGGAAATGGCTATTGCGGCCGCTAAACTAGGCGCCACGTATCTGGCAGTGGAAGAACCCCATCGTACGTGGTTTCCAAGCACTTTTCGGGCTCTAGAAGCCCAATTTTGGCGGTTCTAGCTCTAAATTGTACTATTGTGCGTGCTGTAGACGCCCAACCAGCGCTGGAGGAAGCTGGCAACTTTTTCTTCCCGGAGCTGGTGAAGTTTACGGCAGATATCATGGTGGACGACGGGTCTTCGGGCCAAGACGCTGCTAAAGAGGCAGCGCCGAAGCTTCTGAACCAGATCCCGCAGGGCCAAGCGAAGACGGAGCGCGAGGAGTTCGTGGTGTACGTGGCGGAGCTGCTGAACCAGCTGGGAGTGCTCTGGTCGAACCGCTCGCGGCCATTGAGGGCGCTGTGCTACCTCTCGGCGGCGCAGATGCTGTGTAAGGAGAAGACGGGCAAGCAGGACGGCGCGTTGGCGGCGGCCCAAACGCACACGCACTTTTACTTGGCGCAGGTGTATGGCAGCTTGGGGATGGAGGACGAGTCGGCGAGGTTTTGCTTGTCGACTTTGGAGCTGCAACTGTTGCAGTGCGTGAACGATGCGGAGAAGGGAGACACGTCGCGGTTTGCAGGCGCGCACGAGTGGGTGCGCAACGCGTTGAAGCTGGTGGAGTTTTATCTGGACACGGACAACCCGAAGGATGCTGCCACTTGTCTAGCTGCCAGCGAGTACATGCTGCTTCATCATGGAACCGACGATGGTGAAGACGACGAGGATCAAAAGATTCTGACCGCTGAGATCTACTCGACCTGGAGCAGGCTTCACGTGATAACGCTCCAGCTGGCAGGGATGAGGAAGGACGGGTACACAGCGGATGAAATTGACCCAGTTCTCCCGCGGCCTAGTAGTATGGAGTCCACGCTCGCTAAGTTGGCCCAGACTGCGGCGCCTAGCGGTGGCGAGACCACTAAACCGCCAGGATTTGGCATGGAGTTTGTGCCCGCATCGAGTGTGGCGACGTTTGATCAAGCCCGTGACGTATTCAAGATGGGTCTTCGGGCTTGCACTCGAGCTCGGGAAGTGTTCGTGTTGGACGGCTTTGTGACGCAGCACGTGCGTCTTCTGCAGCGTGAGAGCGCTCTGTATAAGCGACTGCTTCCTTTTGAAGACGCTCGCGGAAGGAAGGTTGCTATGCAGAGACGACGTTTGGCCCTACTGACGCCCGTGCTGGGCGACACGTTGAACGAGCGCGCCTTCAGTGACTTGTTGCAGGAACTCTACTTCGAGTGCGCAGAGATAAACGCCGATGTGCTCGAGCTCAAGCGCAGCAAGGAGGCCGGGGAGAAGGCGATGGCGTACGCAATCAAGGCGATCCAGTGTTACCAGCAGTTCCTGCTCCTCTACTACCCGTCGTCTGAGCCTGAGGGATCATTCAAGGAAGACCCCGTGCGTGTCAGCGTACTGCGCGGAGGCAAGTCGGTTCCGCTTCCAAGTGAAGCCATGTCTCCCAAGGAGTTCCGAACGATGCTGCTCGGCTACTTTGGACTAGCTCATGCTTGTGGCAAAGTCTCATTCCCGTCGAGCAAGACCGTGGGGTATTGGCGCCAGAGTCTCGCCTACCACGAGGCCGTGACGGAACTCGTTCGGAAGTATGAGCAGAAGTACCCGGGACAGCAGGGACAAGAGTTGCGTCGCAGCTTCCAAACGGAGCTGGCTATCTGCGGGGAGATGGCCGAATTGCTGCCGGAGAAGATTAACCAGCTCGTGTACAACGGCAAGGCTCTGTAGGATCTCCAGATTGTACGCATGTACGGTAACCTGCTTTCCTCTGATTTTATTTCAGTTGTATGATCTTGATGAGGGAGTTGGTCTATCAGTGCTATGGCAGCCAAATGGTTGGCTACTCGGCTGAGAAGAACTCGATGCCACGACAAAACACCGTTTGCTCGTCTTCCAGCGCCAGGAAGCAGGATTTGTCCACTCGGAGCTCCTGCAGACGAGAAAAACGGCAAATACTCACCGGAAGCCCTCTCAAGCCGCGATTTCTTGTCAATACAAGGCGCACGAGCGCCTCGCACTCACCAACATTCTCTGGTATTTCTTCCAGCGCATTTTGCTGGAGATCGAGGTACGCGAGTGTTTTACTTCGGAAAAGCGAGGAAGGCAACTTCTTGAGTTTGTTCCCAGCGATGTCAAGCCGCTGGAGCTGTGGTATCTTTCCTACCCCAGCGGGAAGCACCTGGAGCCGATTGCGAGCCAGCTTCAAGTGAAGAAGCTCCGTCAGACACTCCCAGCCTCGGGTTGGAAGTTCAACAAGCGCGTTATCACTCAAGTCAAGGTACTGCACTGTGGTCAACTCTGCGAGAGGGTTCGTGGGCACGTTCGAGACTTCTTCAACAGCTTCTTCCTCTTCGTTATCTACAACTTCGTCATTGTCTGGTGTGTCTTCGTCCAGAAGAATATTTCTCTCGCCTGGTTGCCACTGGCGCAGTTGATTCTGAGCATAAGTGAGCGTGACCAGCGTCTTCAAAGCTCCTAGTTGTGAACGAGGGAAACACTCGATCCTGTTTCCAGTCAGCGACAGATTCGAGAGATTCGTGAGCTCTGCAAAAGACGCAGCGAGCTTGAACAGCGCGTTATTCTGCAGGTTTAGCACCTCGAGGCTTTCAAGCATCCCGATAAACTCCGGCAGCTCCTGCAGCAGGTTGCGTCCGAGGTTGCAGACGCGTAGTGCGCTGAGATTCCCGAAGGCGTCGGGTAATTTACGGAGCTTGTTTCGACTTAAATCGAGTCGAGAGAGCTTTGAAAGACATGGGAACGACTTTGGCAGCCGGCGAAGCTGATTGCTCCGAATATCCAGTATTTTGAGACTGCTGAGTGCGCCGAACTCACGAGGGAGCTTCTCCAGAGCATTTTCATGCAGGAAAAGTCGACGCAGTGCACTGAGATCGCAGAAATTCCCAAGGAGAGAGCGCAGCGCGTTCTTGCTCAGGTCGAGCTCTTCAAGGCGTTGAAGTTGATGGAATGATAGGGGCAGCGACTCGAGTTGGTTACCGGCGAGTGATAGGCGTCTAAATGGCATGAACGTTCAAATTCACGTCAGATAATTGTGGAAGTTTCGAGAACTGGTCCTTCTTACTCAAGTAACTCGAGACAACCGAAGCTGGCTGGTAGTTTTTGCAGTTGTATGTATTCCAGTGTCAGATCGCGGAGGTGGGTGGCGCGCTCGAGGGTTTCAGGTGGAAGTGCCAGAAGCTCGCAATGCGTCACCACTAACCTCCCAGTGGTAGTCGAGCTCTTGAGCGCTGAATCGAACTCTCCCAGCGCCTTCGTCGATGCGCTGGCGCCCATAGCTGCCGTTTCGAATACTGTGGTGGTTAGCACACCTTCTACGAGCCCGAGCCCGTCTACTTCAAAAGTGGGCTCTCCCTAAAACGAGAGCCAAAAGTCGCACAAAACGGGCTCCCTCATGGTAAGTACGAGATCAAGGAGCCCTGGTTCGGGCTCCCCATTGGCTCCCCTCCAGGGCTCCCCAAATTTAGCTTCAAATCTATGACGGGCTCTTCATAGTAATATCTGATTGGTCAATTTTACCTAGACTTAAGGCGAGCAACTTCGCGTGATCGATGCGCCACGCTAGAAGATCGAGCTCAAAGATTGCCACACTAGAAGATCTCGCGCCGCTCATATGTGGACAGCCGCTCCGAGGCCACCCCAGCGTCGCCGATAGTCCTTCCTTCCCCTCAAGGAGAAGCCCTCTTTCCTATGCCTTTTCAGGTTAGAACCTGGAGATACTTCAATGACGGCCAATCATCAGCGAGATATTTAACACAGGTGAGGGGGAGCCCTTAACGAGGGCTCACAGTTCTGGAGGGCTCCTTTCACTTAACCTATTGAACTCAAGAGCCCAGGAGCCCGAGCTCGCGACTTTTTGGGTTCACCCAAGAGCCCAGGAGCCCGGCTCTCCCCAGGGCTCGTAGAAGGTGTGGTGGTTGGGTTGCGACTTTTCAAGATGTCTGCTACTTATACAGACGCGATCAAGCTTTTCATAACTTTTTTCCTTAAAAAAGGATCCAAACCAACACGAATCCAGCGCTATGGCGAAACGAAAGTCACAACAAACATGCTTTTTTTTCAGTAGAGATACTGCTAACGTAATGCATAGATTCGTGGTCGACCGCTTCCCGGCTCAATTCACACGTGGCAAACCTTGGCGACTTCCCGTTCGGCGTCAGTAAGAGCACACCGACTACTCAGCCACCTCAGCACTAAAAGTTGTACCGAGACTTGATGTTTTCCACCATCCGCAGGCGTGAGCGTCTCACTCTGGTCCATGAGAGCGGCGGGGAACGTCGAGCTCTTGTCCGAGGGCCCATAGAAGTCGGGCAGGCGAAAGCCGTGGCCGATTTCGTGCGCCAGCGTCATCATCTGCTCGTCGTCCATGATCTCCAGCATGGCCTTCACCTCCACGCGCTGGCCCCAGTCTCCGCCGGCGCCGTCCACGTTCTGGCCGGGCACGTCTTCCGAGGGCCAGAGCGACATGTCGAAGGGTTGGCCCTCGCACGCGCTCGTGTCGGCGTTGGCCTGCTGGCCCTGGTGCTTGTAGCACTCGTCGGGGCACTTGGGGATTTCGTCGTCGTCCAGCACGCCCTCGTAGATCTTGCCCAGCGAGTCGTCGCTCCAGTCCAGCAACGACGCGTCCCGCACAGCGAAAAAGCCCACGATCTTGATGTCGATCTTCTCGTACGGCCAGCAGTCGTAGCCGATGAGCCAGTGGTTCCAGAGCTTGAACTGGCGGCTGAGCATGGCCTCGAACTTGGACGCCGTAGTCTTCGAGAGCTTCTCATTGTTGTCCCAGCGCACGCAGTAGCTGAGCGACGCGTTGTTGTTGACGATCTGGTCGAAGATGAGGTTGTGGAACGGCGATACGTCCTTGCTCATGCGTCGGTCCCACTGATCGTTGACGTCGGCGGTGCTGATGAACCTATTGGGGTTGCCAACGACACAGCCGCCCTTCTGAGACGTGATGTCGCCAAAGGGGGCATGTGCACTGGTGGCCGAAACAGTTTGGGGAGCACCGCCGCCTTCTGCCGAAGCTTGCGTCGGGAGTATGCTTTCTTGGCTGTATTTGTTGTTGGTTTGAGTCGACGATTCATTCTCAGAGGTCTGGGACGACACAGAACCGCCTTGGTCAGCTGGCTCAGGGGTCGTGAACTGGGATGCATTTTCGGTCTCAGCCTGCGTCTTAGTCGCTTCGTTAGCTTCAGCTGCCACCACAGTAGGCGTCTCCGTCGCCGTGGACGAGTCACTTTCGGTTGGAGGGGTAACAGCAGGGGTGTCGGGTGACTTCTTCCTAGAGTAGTTGCATTTTGCTGCCGTTGAGAACGAGCTGCATACAATGAGCGCTAACAAGTAGCTGTCGAGCTGAAGTACGCGCAGAGTGTCTTGTCGCCATCGCGGAGAAAAGCGATGTAAAAGACGGCACCACAGAAGCGAGCGACGGTGTAAGGACCGCTCTACATAAACGTTATCATGATGGCGCGCCGATAATAGTTGAAGCATATGCAATGTGCATCCAACGGTGAGAGAGAGAGAGATTTGAATTTGAATTTGTTGCGGTTTAGACGGCTAACTACACCCGATGCCGCGCACTGCTGCAGCGTCGCCTACGGATCACGTGCCTCCGGGGCACGAGCCCGCGGTAGTAGCCCACGAGAGAGAGAGAGAGAAGGCCCCAGGTTCTTGACCTGATGGCGTATATTTAGGCACTTATTTCGGAGCCTGCTGGAAACTGGCACTTTGACGTCTAAGTGAGTTACCCTAAACTATTCCTAGTTGATCGGTTTCCCTTCCTGAGGCCGTGGTGAGGCGGCGGTTTGAGGGGATGCGGTTGCGGAGGTGAATCGGGAGTTCCATTAGGGGGGTGACTTAGGGGTTCCAAGGGATGTAGCGATGGAGGTAGTCGGGGGTCGGAAATAGACTTACGTGGCTTTTGTATCGGAATCGCTCCGGGCGAGACTCGAACCCTCAGTGGAACGCTTGATCTTCGTGGGCCTTACCCACAGGGACACTAGGAGCCCCCATGTGCATCAAACGGTGAAGCTGTGCAAGATTTGCGAACGTGACTTCGCAATACGAACACATTTGTTTTCCCGTATAATACGTATTTATTATGCAAAATATACACAGGGAGAAAGAAACGAATATTGTACAATATACTATATACTATATACGTTGAATTGTGGCTAGTCAATTCAATCGACCCGATTGTATTGGTTTGTTTTATCATGGCATTTTTATGAACTAGCTGCCCTTTACCATACGACGATAGGGTGGGCAAGTTGGCATATTTAACCCCATAGAACCTCCGTCGCTCATTTTGGGGATTTTTTTTTCCATCGGTCTGTTCGGAAAGAAAATATACTTACCTTGTTATCGATAACCTCTCCGTAGCTGCAAAAATAACTATTTAAGAAAGATGACTATTTTTTGTTACAGTTAGCATTGCGCCTGAGCGAGTGCGGTGTTCTTTTGATTACTGTAGTCATACGCTGATTACGAGCGTTCTGTTCAGACCATCGTAAATCTGCTGAATCAAGCTTTAGCAGTTCGGCACTGTACGCTGAGTCTACTGTAAACCCCTTTATATACAGCCGGTGATCCTCGAAAACAGCTTGGACTTCAAATGCATGGCTGCAGTTCTGTCGGTAGAACAACGAGGCGATGCGTTCACGTTCAAAATCCGCGTCGAAATGCATCCATACGGTGCTTACAATCACATGTACGTAGGTACGCTGCATAGCTACAGTACATGTACATGATTTAATCATAAATAATCTATACCATGGTAAAATATCCGGGGATTCCAATCACTTATTCACCCAGGAGTAGAATTTTGCTTCTAGGTTAAGAAGTGATCGAAATACCTGGATATTGCAAACTATCTGCAAAGGGAATTCAGCATTTCGTGGTTCAACATATTTTTGTTTTGTTTTCAATTGACACGTGAATTGAGGTAAGTATCTTGTTAGTGCGCTCTACATTTTAAATGCGCCTCGGAATTACAAGAATGCATGGAAGCTGCACCAGGATTCTACAGTAAGCTTGGTACTGCGGTAGAATGTTATCTTGTAAATATAATAAAGAGCTTGTAACGTTGTGGTATGAAGCCTCATTATCCCTTTTTTAATATTAAAATATTTATCGTAAGTATGTATCGATACGAGTATGCACGCAGTCAAGCAAAAGTTGCATTATACTACCAGCACAAGCTGCACAGCTACAGAACAATTGTAACGGGGTTACACGCACAAGTGGCTACATTCACTTGTTACTCTAACAGATGCCATGTCTGTTAGAGGTTTGAACACTTCCTCGACCTTGGTGTAAGGTACACCAATGGCTACATACATTTACGACCACCACGACTGGTCCATACACATTTAGGATTCCTATTGGCTGAAAGCAGCATCTTTTAGCCAATGAGTGACTTGCATGTTAGCAGAATCCTGCCAACCAGCCGTTGGCAGATTCCTAGTTTAGAATATTACATTTAGAGGAAGTCAGAAACATAAAACAAAAATAGCAGTTCTCATCTTTTACCAAAACACGCTACTTGGAGTCTTTATCTTGTTTAAAGTATACTCGTGGATCTTGAGCATACTTAACTCAAGTAAAAGAAACCTACGCTTCCTCATACACGTGCGCATACGTGTAAGCCGTAGTAGTGAGCCAAGGTAGGCCCATTACAACAATCTTACACAGCATTCAGTATCCGATACCAATAAACAGGTGTTGCACTGCATGTATTTCGAAAACGATCACTGCCGTGAAGAGTGATCACAGCGCCAACCCGCGCCGGCACCGTCGTCTTTCACTTCGCAATTCTCCACCATGGCGACAAGCACCAGTTCTCCAGCTCGACGACTCCTTCTCGCTACCTTTCTAGCCCTGGCGGTTTGTGGGAGCTGTTTGTCTGCTGCTAATGCTGCGACTAACACGTCACCGAAGACGGACAATGCTTCCCAGCTGTTGAAGAAACCTCTTTAATCGATGGTACAGTGTTCCCTAAAAGCTGATAGCCAGTTACTCAGTCCCTCTTAAAGCTGTTATTGTGGTATTTAGTATGTTATACAGTCTCCCATAGTAATATGCTCCGCACCAGCCATCTCCTGCTTTCTGGCAGGAGCTCTCTCAACTAATAAACTTTACTTCGCCTTTTGGCGGCTCCACCTCACCTTCTTCTTCTTTACGTTCCTACGATCCTACCCTTACCTTCATAGGTTATGAGCTCAAGCTAAGCCTCAAGCGACAACATCCCGCGCCATACCAGTTTCTGTGAGGAAGACCCGCAAGTGCACGGCACTCGATGACAAGCACCTCAACCACGGTGTGGTGGCAATGCCAATTCGTGCAAGCCGCTCCGCTCACCGACTGTGATGAAGATTCTGGTGTTGCATGTGGACGCGATCAACTAGGAGACGGCCCAACCAGACTGCTGCCCAACTCAGCGCATCCCGCGACAAGCGCCGACATGAAGCAAGGCACGACAAGCGACACACGAACCAGCCGGACGATTAACCTGCGCAAGCATATTCCATGGCCGATGTCGATGTCCTGCCGACGCGCAGGCCGGATGAAATCCCCGTGCCAGACGACCACTCGATGACACGTGCAAATGCACATCCGAGAGATGGGAGGCCGTAATGCCTGGATGTCAATCCCAGAGCTATTTAACTGCGTGAAACGCAATGCCATGAGCTAGCCACTTGCCAAGCTGGGAGGCTAATCCCCAATACCAGCGAGATAGCTGATGAGAGCAGCAATGCTGACTCGCCGAACTTGCTCAATGCCCACGAAAACAGGAAGGAATAAGCCCTGAATATCGCCCCACATGCGAATGTGAAGTTGCTTCTGGCAAATGCCTCAGCCGTAAAGGCATCGGCGCGCTAGTGCTATACTAGACGTGCCTTCATGTCATCTAACCACGCATCGGCAAAACATGCCACTCAAATGGCTTACCGATCGGTATTCCCAAATTGAACACCATGCGATATGCATGAAGAACGATGACTCTGGTTTATTCTAAGAGGGTTGTCTTGACAAAAGTCCCGTTACTCGCCCATTAGACAAGCACGAATACGCTTATGTCTTTTAATCTCCAGGCATGCACGACAAGTTCGCATCTACCGGTAACCATGACAAGACATGCACGAATACCGCATCAGTCAGACTCATTGATGAGAGTTACGCTTTGTTTCTTAAACATGCCAAGCCTGAAGTCTGCCTCTGTCGGATAGCGTAATTTGACAAGGCCGAACTACGCCTTTGTCTGAAATGGCGACGTTACTTCTGCTTATCACTATGGCAAGGCGAATCGTCGATTAACGAATGAGTTTAAGAGCATGAGTTCTATCGCTCATGTCATACTTGGCACGTAAAGTACAAACGCCTCGTTAACGAAACTGCAAGCACGACTTTCACTTATCTCTACTGTTATATAAGTAGTAAGGAATGCACGATAGTACGCATCCGACAATACATGCATGAATATACCGCATTTGGCCAAAGCAACACGCACTAAATGTGTTTAAGTCTTACTATTAACATCGTACATCTTGACGCTCGAAAATGACCGCTGTCAAAAATCTATAACAAGCACGAACACTACGCTTCTTTCGATCACTCATACGACATCATGAGATTAATGACAAGTGTAAAACACTTCTGTCCTTGATGAACATTAAAACGGCACGCATACTAAGCCTCTGCCAAGTATATTTCCGTGAATAAATACGACAAGCTTATACAACCTCTGTCTATCCCAGACTACCGGTAGACATTGTTGATGTTTGAAACCAACTTGCCACTGCACACCATCAATCTGTAAGACAATGAACGAGTGCACTCTCTATTACCACAATTACGACTGCGTATTATTGAACTACTACATGCAACGTTTCAATCTGCAATGTAAGCTTCTGTCTGATGCGACATGGATGTAAACCCATTTGAAAGCAAGAACAGTGTGTGGTAGCCTAGTGGAGAAGTATAGCGACATTAACCCTTACAGTACCGTCGGTCTCGATGGGCGTATAGGTCTGTTGAGACCTATATTCTCACTTTTTCTTGAATACGATTGGCCAATATTCTCATGCAATGGTTGGGTAAGCAGCATAGAGGTCCATTTAGATCCGTAGCGAGCACGTCGATGCTCTGAACAAACTCGTACAATTCCAAACTGTTGTTATTTGTGCAGCAATATTTTTGTGTTCGTGATAAACGGTGCTTCCTCGCACGCCACACGGGTCCCGTAGGCCACCACACACGATCTCCATGAGCGTCACTGCTAGGGTCCACCGCGCCAAAAACCCACGCGTCTCGGTGGTTACCAGCACGAGGCCCTTGTCCGGCACGGCGCACTGGTGCTCAACCTGGATGTAGTCTATACAACCACATCA